ATTAAAGAGTGATTTAATTTTACGTAACTGCTCCAGGGGAGCAGTCAGCATAACTTTTCTTTTCTGCACGAAACAAACCAAAGTGAGGCACAGTCTTGTAACTTACCATATATTTGGATTCAATTCCATCTGGTGGTAGGAGTCAAAGTCATCTCGCAGGATGATACTGTCACTGTGTATTTCAGCTAAAAGAAAAATGAAGTATTTAGGAAAGAATTATACTAAACAATAGATTTAGCTACACAAAAGGGTCAACATGCTGCATTTATGAGGAATAACAGTACTTTAAATTAAAACTGAATTTTAAATGGACAGTAGATTATATTTACTCTGCCTCTAAACCACTAAAGGACAAGGGTAAAAGCTCTGCTCTTTAGATACCTAGAAGCCTGGAAACCAGAGGCCCCAAAGAGAAACCCTACCGGTGTCACCAGGCATGAGAAGCAAGGACGTCAAGGTCAGCACTAACCTACAAGGAGAGGTCATACAAGACTTGCCTCTCAGAGCATGACACACCTGGCAAATATTTAGTATCTAGCTCAGTTTAAAGCATAAAAGGGGATGGAATGTTCTGGCTGTTTATTTTATTGTTAGCTAATATTGTAGGTATTTGCTAACCCATTTCCTTTTCTTTGTTCTGCTATCCCTTTTACCCTGGCTTGTTTTCTCTCAATCCTTATATTCACTCATTTTTTATTTAGTGAGTAATATTTGTTAACTTATTTTCAATTTGTTAACTTTTTTTTCCTGTAACAGCTGCACAGGAAAAATGATCCACATGAGTAAGTAAAACTCCCAAATAAAGTCATGTTAGAAGTCAGGAGGAACGCCGATGAACCATACATAGTTTAAAAAATACTATCATTACACTTGAGATGTATTAAACACCCATTTTTAAACTCTACAAGATCTTTGGGCATGCCAAGAGCAAATAATATCTTCCTAAACTGTAAAGTATGTAATATATTCTACTGAATTGAGGGTAAGCAAGTAGAAACAATTTCATGGTGAGCTACAAGGGAAGTGGGCTCATTTATAAGGTTGTGTGAGGAATGATAATTATTTCTACTCAGGCTGTGAAAAATGAATGTACAGCTTAAAAACATTCTCATCTGATTCCCATGGTTTGCTCAAACAGTTTATTTCAGCTAATATAAATTCTCTGGATCTGTACAATTTTGTTTGAACTGGTACACATATTTTTTGGAAAAATTAAAATCATATCTGTATAATAATAAGATAACCAAAATTTTAATTTTTTTTAAAGCTGATATTTTACCCTTTTTTTCCCCTCACTCGAATATCATTCACTGAATTCACTGGGTAATTAAAATCACCTCCAAATATTAGGAAGTGTATTTCCAAATTCTCTCTGGTGATATTGCCACCTATAGCCATCCTCACCCTCTTTAGAATGGGTATGCCAGCAGGTAAGCACATAATGAAGTCCAGAAAGCCAGTGAATCAGCATGTTTGGACAGGAATAGCTGTTCAGACTTGAAGTCTTAGGCACAACAACAGGGAGAATATGGATTTACACTGGGGAGAATACTGTGATGTGTGCTGGGCGTGGGAGTGATTTAATGATTCCTCTGAGCGGTTAGATGCAGTGCCCGAAATGCCCACAGGGTACAGCTCTCTCAAATGCCCCACCGGGCCAAGACGCAGGGGGGCCACTGCGGGGCATGTGGCTGCCCGAAGGCAGGCTCCTAAGCACCTGTGTTCATCTGTCAAAGAAGAGGAGCCCCGAGCTGTAACGCTACATAAAAGTCAAGCTTCTTAAGGCAGATTTTCCAAAGAGAAAAACAAATTAATTGGGTTTATAGGCTGAAAGGAAAAGACCAAGGGAGAAATAACTGACCACTGGCACGTCCCCGCGAGAGACCTCTGAGATGGTGGCAGCCAGCTGGGATGGTTTTTCATTCTTATTAAACAGTGTTAGGTAGAAATTGCTTTTAAAATAAATCTTCACTGACACAGATGAGCATTTAAAAAAAATGTTTTTTTACTAAAGTATAGTTGATATACAATCTTATATTGGACTTTAACTCTTAAAGATCACTTATTCTCTAGAGAATTTTCACAAAGGGTAATAAGCCTCAGTGGTCATTTGTTCATGTATTTATTTCTTTCCAAATGCTATTATGTCACCAACTATACAGCTTTCAAATAATGATTCATTAATCCTCATGACAAACCCAGGAGGTAGGTACTATTATGATTTCTATTTTACAGACGAGGAAACTGAGGCACACAGAGGTTAAGTAACTTGCTCAATGTCATGTGACTAGTGAGCAGTGAAGGTGAAATAAACTCGGGTAGTTTGGCTCCAGAATCAGTGCTCTTAACGACTACACAACCTCACCTTGAGAACTGTAGTGTGCTAAGTACATGGCACTGTGAAAGGTCAGGAGAAAAATGAGACATGGTAACTCTACATGTGCCATTAGACAGAGCACGGAGTTATTGAAACAGCCTCAATTTCCAATTTTGAAAAAATGACCAAATTATTTCTCTTTTTACAACCAAGTACAATTTGAGCAGGTATATCTCAAATCTGAAAGACCTTATTTTCCTACATTCAACACTCCATATTCACCGCCTCTCTACTCTACTGCTAAAGATGGGTAAGGGCTCTGGAGAAAATTCAGCACTTGCACCCTTGGTCAAACGATCAGACTCAACAGGATCCCATGGACAAACATACTAACAGGTTTAAAAGTCCTTCCATTAGGGCAGCATGACCACCTCTTTGGTGAGACCCTGTGGTTCAAGCATAATCTGGACCTGAGTTTGATTTCAGTGAATGATCAGCAAGTCAGAGAGGGCAGAACATTTATTTCCTCACCTCTGTACCATCTGTTTACATAGCCAGGGGAGTGAAGACAACTACATGTGGCACTAAGATAACTGGCCTCATGGTTATCTTACCTAGATGCGGGTGCACAGTGGCCTCTGTTGGAGCTGGACCAAGAGAAAAAAAGACAAAGATGATTGATTGCATCTACCACACCAGGCGCAGTGCCAGATCTTTCCAGGCTCAGCAAACTTCAAAACAAAGCTGTAAGGACAGTATTCGTCTGACTTTTATTGACAAAGAAATGGGCTCATAGAGGTGAAGCAAAATTTTCGCTTTTCTCAGGATACCCAACTGGCAAATGGCTAGTCAAGGGTCAAACTAGACCTGCCTGATATCAGAGCAAATGCCATCTTTGCAACGAAGTCATCTCTCATATGATGAGAGTTTCATAGTTTGTTTGGGTTTTTTTATTCTTTAAAAGGCTAGATGAAGGAGATTGTGGACAATAAGGGAGAAAGCAATATTACTCTAAACATGATAGAAGAGAGAAGTAGGTGGCTTTTTAAAGCTAAAGAAGTTTTGTATTGTTTTTTTTTTTAAGTAGGATAGGCCATAGCTTAAGTAAAAGGGACACAAAATCCATAACTTTGGTCAAGAAAGCGAATATCAGATAAGTCACGAAAATGAGTGAAACAAAATCAATCATGTTTTATTGGTTTAAAAAACAACAGAATTTGAAACACATAAGTCACATTTTGTATTTGTCAGGAACACTCACTGAAGAAAATGAATTAGCTTGACAGAAATGAACTTACCTTGAAAGAAACAAATCATCTGATAACATCTATATTAATGGAATATTAAAAAACAAAACAAAACAAATGCCAAAGAAAGTAGGGAATTTTTCCTGGGATAAGTGGTGCTTAGTAATTTTTTTTGGCCTTTTCTTAATAAAGATTTTCAATTCACTTTAAGAAATTTATACTTAGGATACATTCACTAAGAAGTAAAATTTTATTGATAAATTATTTCTTTAAATTGCATATAAATTATGAGACTTTGTGAATCTGTCTTATCTCATTTTTTGCACATTTATACTATCTATATCTGTAATTCTTTCTAGAAAAGGCATAAATAGTTTCTCTGTCTTTATTTAAGCACCAGCACTCTCTGCATCTATATGTTATCTTCAACTCTCAGATCAAGGGGCACTGTCTTCAAGAGACTCTCACTCAAATCATCTCTCCTTTTTTGGAACTGCAGTATATATCTGTATCCCTCTATCTGAGGGATTTCTATCCCGGATAATAAACTTTTAAAAAATGGTTTTAGTGTCTCCTCTACTAAACTAAAAGCTACTTGAGAGAATGAACCATATCCATTTTTAATTTACTATGTAACTGAAATAATTACTGCTTAATATTTTTTGAACAATGAAAATAAAGAAAAACAATATCATACGATGACATTTGAGAATAAAATGGTTATTCTCCCTCTAGTCTTGAGTTATGCTTGAATTTTGGTTGCAATTTGAAAGTTTACACTAGAGCTTGTAATTTATCTTGAATTCTTAATTGTATATACAAAACATTTACTATTATAGAAAACCCACATTCATATAGTCTCTCAAAATATGCAGACTGATTCTAGCTCTAGGTTGGTAGACCTATTTCTCCAAAGTCAACAAAAATACAATGAACTGCCAACAAATTCATGTATCCATTTATGTATTAAAGAAATTTTTAATCAATGAGTGTTGGTTTATTATTTCTTTGCCCTAAAAACCCCATGGAGTTGCACCCAAACAGCCTTCAAAGGAGAGATTGGAGTATAAGTAACGAGGTGATCCAATAACAGAAGTTATTGGGAAATATGACTCAAATCATCTGCATTTGCTTGGCATAAATGCAATTATTAGACATATTAAAGCATAACATTTTTTATGTAAAGAACTTATACAACTGAAAAAACATCTAACCATACCCATGGCTTTGATGGGCACCTAGGTTCAGTTCCTCAAGTCAAGAAGGAAACATTTTGCAGTATACATTAAGCTTAGTTCTCCAGTGGAACAATTATCCCTGATACCTTAGCATTAAAGAGTGATTTAATTTTACGTAACTGCTCCAGGGGAGCAGTCAGCATAACTTTTCTTTTCTGCACGAAACAAACCAAAGTGAGGCACAGTCTTGTAACTTACCATATATTTGGATTCAATTCCATCTGGTGGTAGGAGTCAAAGTCATCTCGCAGGATGATACTGTCACTGTGTATTTCAGCTAAAAGAAAAATGAAGTATTTAGGAAAGAATTATACTAAACAATAGATTTAGCTACACAAAAGGGTCAACATGCTGCATTTATGAGGAATAACAGTACTTTAAATTAAAACTGAATTTTAAATGGACAGTAGATTATATTTACTCTGCCTCTAAACCACTAAAGGACAAGGGTAAAAGCTCTGCTCTTTAGATACCTAGAAGCCTGGAAACCAGAGGCCCCAAAGAGAAACCCTACCGGTGTCACCAGGCATGAGAAGCAAGGACGTCAAGGTCAGCACTAACCTACAAGGAGAGGTCATACAAGACTTGCCTCTCAGAGCATGACACACCTGGCAAATATTTAGTATCTAGCTCAGTTTAAAGCATAAAAGGGGATGGAATGTTCTGGCTGTTTATTTTATTGTTAGCTAATATTGTAGGTATTTGCTAACCCATTTCCTTTTCTTTGTTCTGCTATCCCTTTTACCCTGGCTTGTTTTCTCTCAATCCTTATATTCACTCATTTTTTATTTAGTGAGTAATATTTGTTAACTTATTTTCAATTTGTTAACTTTTTTTTCCTGTAACAGCTGCACAGGAAAAATGATCCACATGAGTAAGTAAAACTCCCAAATAAAGTCATGTTAGAAGTCAGGAGGAACGCCGATGAACCATACATAGTTTAAAAAATACTATCATTACACTTGAGATGTATTAAACACCCATTTTTAAACTCTACAAGATCTTTGGGCATGCCAAGAGCAAATAATATCTTCCTAAACTGTAAAGTATGTAATATATTCTACTGAATTGAGGGTAAGCAAGTAGAAACAATTTCATGGTGAGCTACAAGGGAAGTGGGCTCATTTATAAGGTTGTGTGAGGAATGATAATTATTTCTACTCAGGCTGTGAAAAATGAATGTACAGCTTAAAAACATTCTCATCTGATTCCCATGGTTTGCTCAAACAGTTTATTTCAGCTAATATAAATTCTCTGGATCTGTACAATTTTGTTTGAACTGGTACACATATTTTTTGGAAAAATTAAAATCATATCTGTATAATAATAAGATAACCAAAATTTTAATTTTTTTTAAAGCTGATATTTTACCCTTTTTTTCCCCTCACTCGAATATCATTCACTGAATTCACTGGGTAATTAAAATCACCTCCAAATATTAGGAAGTGTATTTCCAAATTCTCTCTGGTGATATTGCCACCTATAGCCATCCTCACCCTCTTTAGAATGGGTATGCCAGCAGGTAAGCACATAATGAAGTCCAGAAAGCCAGTGAATCAGCATGTTTGGACAGGAATAGCTGTTCAGACTTGAAGTCTTAGGCACAACAACAGGGAGAATATGGATTTACACTGGGGAGAATACTGTGATGTGTGCTGGGCGTGGGAGTGATTTAATGATTCCTCTGAGCGGTTAGATGCAGTGCCCGAAATGCCCACAGGGTACAGCTCTCTCAAATGCCCCACCGGGCCAAGACGCAGGGGGGCCACTGCGGGGCATGTGGCTGCCCGAAGGCAGGCTCCTAAGCACCTGTGTTCATCTGTCAAAGAAGAGGAGCCCCGAGCTGTAACGCTACATAAAAGTCAAGCTTCTTAAGGCAGATTTTCCAAAGAGAAAAACAAATTAATTGGGTTTATAGGCTGAAAGGAAAAGACCAAGGGAGAAATAACTGACCACTGGCACGTCCCCGCGAGAGACCTCTGAGATGGTGGCAGCCAGCTGGGATGGTTTTTCATTCTTATTAAACAGTGTTAGGTAGAAATTGCTTTTAAAATAAATCTTCACTGACACAGATGAGCATTTAAAAAAAATGTTTTTTTACTAAAGTATAGTTGATATACAATCTTATATTGGACTTTAACTCTTAAAGATCACTTATTCTCTAGAGAATTTTCACAAAGGGTAATAAGCCTCAGTGGTCATTTGTTCATGTATTTATTTCTTTCCAAATGCTATTATGTCACCAACTATACAGCTTTCAAATAATGATTCATTAATCCTCATGACAAACCCAGGAGGTAGGTACTATTATGATTTCTATTTTACAGACGAGGAAACTGAGGCACACAGAGGTTAAGTAACTTGCTCAATGTCATGTGACTAGTGAGCAGTGAAGGTGAAATAAACTCGGGTAGTTTGGCTCCAGAATCAGTGCTCTTAACGACTACACAACCTCACCTTGAGAACTGTAGTGTGCTAAGTACATGGCACTGTGAAAGGTCAGGAGAAAAATGAGACATGGTAACTCTACATGTGCCATTAGACAGAGCACGGAGTTATTGAAACAGCCTCAATTTCCAATTTTGAAAAAATGACCAAATTATTTCTCTTTTTACAACCAAGTACAATTTGAGCAGGTATATCTCAAATCTGAAAGACCTTATTTTCCTACATTCAACACTCCATATTCACCGCCTCTCTACTCTACTGCTAAAGATGGGTAAGGGCTCTGGAGAAAATTCAGCACTTGCACCCTTGGTCAAACGATCAGACTCAACAGGATCCCATGGACAAACATACTAACAGGTTTAAAAGTCCTTCCATTAGGGCAGCATGACCACCTCTTTGGTGAGACCCTGTGGTTCAAGCATAATCTGGACCTGAGTTTGATTTCAGTGAATGATCGGCAAGTCAGAGAGGGCAGAACATTTATTTCCTCACCTCTGTACCATCTGTTTACATAGCCAGGGGAGTGAAGACAACTACATGTGGCACTAAGATAACTGGCCTCATGGTTATCTTACCTAGATGCGGGTGCACAGTGGCCTCTGTTGGAGCTGGACCAAGAGAAAAAAAGACAAAGATGATTGATCAGCAACATAAACAATATTTAGTAATAAACCATCACAAATATAATGACAAAACTTAGGTCATGCTAAACAAATTGATGACTAGAACTTTTTTAGAGGAATAAGAAGAAAATGCTAATAAACATTTAAAGTAAGACATCCAACTATCCAGTTATTATATTTTAAAGTGATGCGTTACTTCTAAAGTGAAGAGTAGAAACCTTACACACAGATGGTTATCTGTGTACAGATACAAGTTTAGCGAGATATCCTTTGAAACACACAATATAAATGTGATGTGATAGTCCATGGATATGCCAAAACCCTTTCTGAGCACCTATGATATGTCAGGGGCTGCTCTGCATGTTAGGAAAACAGACAAGAAGCACCATTTTTGCCCTCAGAAAAACTTCCCACTTGGTGGGGACTATTACAATACAGTGTAATAAGTGCTATGGCAGACTGTTCAGAGGTGCTGGGGTGAGGTGGAGGACAAAGAAGGGAATACCAATGCCAGGCTGACCAGGAGAAGAGGTTTCCCAGAGAAGGTGATTTCTCTGTTGAGTTTTGAAGGAACAGTAGGAGGAAAATAGGTGAGGGGACAGGACGTCTTCCTGAAATAAAAGTGGAATGGCATAGAGAAGTAAGAGAAAATGGCCTTTGGAGAGAACTACACAATTTCAGCATAGCTGGATGAAAGTGTAAGCAGAGGGGTACAAAAGGCAAAGTTGGGAAGATTGGGGGACAAGATCACTCACATGAGTGTTAAGAAGCCTGGACCTGACAATGAAAGCGTGATGATCTTTTGAACTTTTATGAGAAAATGAATAGTTATTCAAATATGCGTTTTAAGAAAGGGCACTCTGGCAAGAGTTTGGAAATAATGAACACTGCCTAATTATTACTTTGGTTATATTTTTCCTAAAAGGACCTCCAAATGAGAAATATTGTCAATTCGCTATCTAAAATTAGAGTTTACAACATAGATACTTACAAATCTTTTACATTAGCTACAGAAGAATTTCAGCTAGATATGAAAAATTTAGTTTCTATCATGAAAGTCAGTGCTTCAGCTATGTTAGATGAAAAACCCAGACTTAAGCTCAAAGCCTTTCCTTTAAGATCAGGAACAAGACAAGGATGCCCACTCTCTCCACTTTTATTCAACATAGTACTGGAGGTCCTAGCCACAGCAATTAGACAACACAAAGAAATAAAGGGCATCCAGATTGGTAAGGAAGAAGTTAAACTGTCACTGTTTGCAGATGACAAGATACTGTACATAGAAAACCCTAAAGAATCCACTCCAAAACTGCTAGATCTAATACCTGAATTCAGCAAAGTTACAGGATACAAAATTAATACACAGAAATCTGTTGCATCCTATACACTAATGATGAACTAACAGAAATAGAAATCAGAAAAACAGTTTCATTCACAATTGCATCAAAAAGAATAAAATACCTACAAATAAACCTAACCAAGGAAGTGAAAGACCTATACTCTGAAAACTACAGGACACTCATGAGAGAAATTAAAGAAGATACCAATAAGTGGAAACACATCCCGTGCTCATAGATAGGAAGAATTAATGTTGTCAAAATGGCCATCCTGCCTAAAACAATATACAGATTCAATGAAATTCCTATCAAAATACCAACAGCATTCTTCAATGAACTAGAGCAAATCATTCTAAAATTCATATGGAATCACAAAAGACCCCAAATAGCCAAAGCAATCCTGAGAAGGAAGAATAAAGCTGGGGGCATTACACTCTCCAACTTCAAGCTCTATTACAAAACCACAGTAATCAAGACAAGTTGGTACTCGTACGAGAGCAGAACAATAGACCAATGGAACAGACTAGAGAGCCCTGATATAAACCCAACCATATATGGTCAATTATTATATGGTAAAGGAGCTATGGACATACAATGGGGAAATGACAGCCTCTTCAACAACTGGTGTTGGAAAAACTGGACAGCTACATGCAAGAGAATGAAACTGGATCATTGTTTAATCCCATACACAAAAGTAAACTTGAAAGGGATCAAAGACCTGAATGAAGTCATGAAACCATGAAACTCTTAGAAGACAATATAGGCAAAAATTTCCTGAATATAAACATGAGCAACTTCTTCCTGAACGCATCTCCTCAAGCAAGGGAAACAAAAGCAAAAATAAACAAATGGGACTACATCAAACTAAAAAGCTTTTGTACAGCAAAGGACACGATCAACAGAACAAAAAGGCATCCTCCAGTGTAGAAGAATACATTTTTAAATGACATATCCGACAAGGGGTTAACATCTAAAATATATAAAGAACTCACATGCCTCAACACCCATAAAGCAAATAACCTGATTAAAAAATGGGTGGAGGATATGAAGAGACAATTCTCCAAAGAAAGATGGCCAGCAGACACATGAAAAGATGCTCCACATCACTAACCATCAGGGAAATGTAAATTAAAACCACAATGAGATATCACCTCACACCAGTAAGGATGGCTAGCATCAAAAAGACTAAGAGCAACAAATGCTGGCAAGGATGTGGAGAAAGGGGAACCCTCCTACACTGCTGGTGGGAATGTAGGGTAGTTCAACCATTGTGGAAAGCAATATGGAGGTTCCTCAAAAAACTAAAAACAGAAATACCATTTGACCTGGGAATCCCACTTCTTGGAATTTACTCAAAGAATACAACTTCTCAGACTCAAAAAGACACATGTACCCTTATGTTTATTGTAGCACTATTTACAATAGCCAAGATATGGAAGCAACCTAAGTGTCCATCAGTGGATGAATGGATAAAGAAGAAGTGGTACATAAATACAATGGAATACTATTCAGCCATAAGAAAGAAACAAATCCTACCATTTGCAATAACATGTATGGAGCTGGAGGATATTATGCTTAGGGAAATAAGCCAGGTGGAGACAGAGACAAGTGCCAAATGATTTCCCTCATTTGTAGAGTATAACAACGAAGTAAAACTGAAGGAACAAAACACGAGCAGACTCACAGACTCCAATAAGGGACTAGTGATTACAATGGGGAGGGGTGTGGGAGGGCGGGTGGGGAGGAAGGGAAAAAGGGATTGAGGGGTATTATGTTTAGTATACATGGTGTAGGGGGGTCACGGAGAGAACAGTGTAGCACAGAGAAGGCAAATAGTTAATCTGTGGCATCTTACTACACTGATGGACAGGGACTGTAATGGGGTATGGGTGGGGACTTGATAATGTGGGTGCATGTAGTGACCACATTGTTTTTTCATTTGAAACCTTCATAAGAGTGTATATTAATAATACCTTAATAAAAAAAAAGAAAAAAGAAGAAAAATCCAGACTTAAATTCATTTTAAAACTAGAGACTGATGTTTGTCTTATTGCTTTATAACAACATATTATACATATAGAAAATACTTGTGTTCTGATTTTTGAAACAGACTCTATGGAAAGTGCCATGGATGCAGTTGTTAGAAAACAGTTAGTGTGTATACACACACACACAAATGTTTTAAATGCTCAGTTTATGGAGCTCTTTAAAAAAAAAAGAAACTTTTAATTATCTTGTATTTTGTGCTAATGCTTATTGGTTAAGTCATAGAAGAGTTTTACAAAGTCATGGAACTGCTAACTCTAATTTAAGATTTTCTTGAAACAAGAGAAATAATTGCCAGTTATCCAATAATCAATGAAAGAAACATAGCACATTGATGTATGTTTCCTTATCAATATCACACTGCATATGAATGAGCTGAATTTGAAGCTTCAAGGGAAGCAAAAGTTTATTTGCAAAGTAGTTGGAAAAGTAAGAGAATTTAAGTTGAAACTGAAACGTCTAAAATACAAATAAATAAGATTTCACACACTTTTCTAACGAATCAATATTCAAAAGATTTTCATTGCACTTGACAGCATTTTCCAAATTGTCTGAAAAATTCTCCAAGAAAAATTTGAGGAATGTCTTGTTGATATTAATAATTTTAGAATTGCTTTTCAATTTATGCAATATCCCTATGAATCCCATGTTAATAATACTAGGGTTGACATAAGAATAAATGAATTTACTTGGACAGATAGTTCTGAAACTGATAAGTGTTTCCAGCAAGGTTAAATCAGCTCTCTTAAAAAAAAATGGACAAATTTTGTCCAAGCAGATGTGAATATTAAAGGAAAATAATTTTTTGATATTTGATTCAGTTATTGTAAGTCCCTTAAGCAGCTATGGAACACATGGATATGTGTATCTAGTTTACAACTATAAATTTTATGAAATCTTAGTACAGATAAAATATTCTAATACTTCAGATATGCTCTAAGTGTAAAATACACACCAGAGTTTGGATACTTAGTATGAAAAAAAGTAAACCATCTCATGAATGATTTTATATTGACTATATTATATTAAAATATTTACTTTTTTGTACTAATTTTCCTCCTTATGAAATTAAATGTTTAATGTTTTATATATTCTGTATTAAATAAAATACATTATTAAAGTCATTTTTTTATGGTTACTAGAATATTTAAAACTATATATGTGGCTCATTTTATACTTCTATTGGACAGTGCTGAACAAGAGCCAGGAGGTGCTCCGTACTGGGTATCAATTAGAGAATCATTATCACACAGGAGGAGGTGCAGTAGCAGAAGACCAAGTCACTCAGAGAGAATGTAGAGTATAAAAAAAGATTTTAAATGAAGAGGTAAACGTGCATTTAAGGCACTGGTAGAAGAAGACGGGCTAGTAAAGGAAACTTAGAAATTCTGAATTCATTTTATTATGGAAATAAGGAAAACAGAGTTTAAGAGGGAAGAGGGTTGAAGGAGACACCAGAATAATTCTCATAAAGCTGCTATGTATTGAGAACAGACTGTTACCAAAGCATTGTTTTCAGCAGGGTCTGTAGATGAAACCAGGGATTTTGGTCTCAGAGGCCATGCTCTTAATGACTGGCAGAACTGCTCTTTCAAGAAGGTT